CCTGGGAACAAACCAAAGAGCTTTGGCTCCGCAGCCGCGGGGCTGACAGGGCTGGCAATTGCTTCCCGGTTCACGTTCCACTTGCATTTTCCCCCAGAGACACGATCACTTAGAAACCTATAAATCCCTGGCTGACGGGCCAGGCGAGTATATAAACAGGGACTTGTAAAAGCGTAATGGTCCCCTCTGGACAGCGGGGGAGAGGGGCGTGTGCCAGAACTCCTGCGGACTGGTCCTGGCCACGTGACGCAGACCCTCGGGGCGGGGACAGGCACCCAAGCCCTGGAATTTCAGCTCTGCCCTGACTCTCTCGGTGCTTTCTGGCAAGTCACCTCTGACCCTCAGTTCTTTCCTCTGTGAAATGGGGTAATCACACGGACCTTGCAGGCGTTGTAACATCACGTACGTCTGCAGGAGTTGTAAGTGTGGCACGTGGTAGTTCTTCAGGAGACTGTCAGGCCGGAAGCGGAGGGGTTGGGTGGGGTGACAGCCCACAAATACTTGTGGGAATGCTGTGCGTGAGGCTCGGTGCAGACAGGTCCTCGCTTCCCTGCTCCCGTCTCTCGGGCTGCCTTGAGGTATTTAACATGCAGGGATTGCGTGCCTGCTACGTTCCAGCAGCTGGCTGGCCAGCAGTGAAGACAGGTCAGGGCCTGCCTTCGTGGGGTGTACGTTTTAGGGGGTGCTCCCCAGCCCATGCCCTCCACAGCAGTGGGCGGGAGGGGGTGTCCTCACATAGGAACCTGCCGTGCCACCCCCACTAGTCCCTTGCTGGGCTCTCCAGTCTCCAAGGGTCCTCATCTGCGACATGAAAGGGGTGGGACTGGTGGCCCCTGTGGGTCCCCTCAGCCCCAGTGGTCTGGGTTGGGGTTGGGGTGGGGGGACACAGGGCCAGGGGGAAGAGAATTGGGAGGCAGATGGAGTCCCTGGGAGGCAGCTCCAGGTAAGCCCTGCATCAAGGGGACCTGGGGCCTGGCCAGGCAGGGCAGAAGCAGAGGTTCCATACCCATTCACCCCGAGACCCACGCAGGTGGAGTTCGGGTGGAGGAGGAGTGGCCCTGCGCCGAGGCCCCTCCCACCAGCACTCCTCTGTGGTTCCCCCTTTCCCGCCCTCCGGGGCCCTTGCCACCAACACTCTGTGTTGTCTTGAGTGAGGCACTGTCTGCCTCTCGGCAGAATTAGGGAGAATCAGGGAGACTGAGCAGAGGAAGCAGAGAGAGTGGAGTAAGGGGAGAGAGAAGAAAGATGTGCTCATCTTGGATCAGACCTTGCAAGAGAGAAAGAAAATGGGGGAAAAAGAGAGACAAAGGGAATGGACTGGGAGGGTGGGAAGAGGGAGGGAGGAGAGAATTGGGACTAATGGGCACCAGCCGAGACCAGCCGAGAAATGGGGAGATGGACAGGGAGGGTGGAGAGAGCGAGAACTGCGGGGAACGAGAGGGAGCAGAAGAGAAAGGCAGGGAGAAGCGGGGAGACAGAGACCAGGCAGTGGGGAAGGAACAAAACGGTCCGGCTGCCCACTGCTGCGAGAGCCCACGCTCTGCCCCCACAGCACGAGCTGATGGGAAGGCTCCGCCCCCCCAAAGCACGTGCTGATGGGAAGGCTCCGCCCCCCAAAGCACGTGCTGATGGGGAAGGCTCCGCCCCCCAAAGCACGTGCTGATGGGAAGGCTCCGCCCCCAGAGCACGTGCTGATGGGAAGGCTCCGCCCCCAACCAACTCCGCCCCCAGAGCACGTGCTGTGGGGAAGGCCCGCCCCCCAAAGCACGTGCTGATGGGAAGGCTCCGCCCCCAGAGCACGTGCTGATGGGAAGGCTCCGCCCCCCCAGAGCACGTGCTGATGGGAAGGCTCCGCCCCCCCAAAGCACGTGCTGATGGGAAGGCTCCGCCCCCCAAAGCACGTGCTGATGGGAAGGCTCCGCCCCCCCCAAAGCACGTGCTGATGGGAAGGAAAGTGGTTTATTAGATGATGGCCATCTGGAAGATGGGGGTCTCATTTCTCAAAGCCTGTCTCTCTGGGAAGATGGGGGACTCATTTCTCAAAGCCCATCTCCCTGGGAAGATGGGGGACTCGCAGCTCTAAGTGCATCTCCACCTCTCAGTGGAGACCGAGATCTTTATAGGGGGAGAGGGAAACAGATACGGAACAAAGAGATCAAGGGGGAGGGGGCTGCAAAGTTCTCCCTGTGCAGATGAGCACAGTCCATTCCCGTGAGAGAAGTGACGGTCTGGTGGGCATCGTCCTGGTTTAGTCATCCTGGCGTCACGTCATCCAGCTTCACTTCATCCTGGCTCCACGGATGAAGGTTAGCAAATCGCTCCAAACTGGATGCTTGCAGGTGGAAGTCTGTGTCTTTTAAAGTTAGTTCCTAGGATTCTTCTGCAAACATGCTGTTCCTCAGTAAGCTACACATTAGTCAGAGTCGGCACTCACAGAAACTCACAGAAAAATGTCCAAAGAGGGTGGGTGGGTGACAGTTTCCCACTGTTACAGGCAGAAGGGCCACACTCGGCCTGCACTGCACACGGGCTGGGCTGCAGGGCAGCATGGTCACCTGGTAGGCTTGAGTACTGTCCCTGCACCTGGGTCCCCGTGGGGGACCCTTGGCAGACTCAGCTCCTCTGCCCTACAGGTCCCGCAGCCCCCGCCTCCCCAGCCTTGGCCAACTCCCAGGAGCTCCCCAGGCAAAAAGCACCAACCCCTCCACTGGGCCCCCAGCCCCCTCTGTGCGAGGGGGCACAGTGGCCCCTCCTGCCAGTTAGGAGCAGCAGTCACCATGCCCCATGGCGTGGTGTGGACCCGCTGCAGTGTTGCTGGCCATGGTCCGAGCTTGGGAGGGGCAGCGATGCTTTCTGAACAGTGGGCAAAGCAAGCACTGGCTGGGGAGGGGCAGGCTGCCCAGTCTGTCCGCAGGTCCTGCCCCAGGGGCCAGCCCACTGATGAACTCACTGTGGACGAGGGGACAGACCTGGTGGGCATTGGGGCGTGAGGGCGGGAGGGCCCAGAACATGCCAAGAGGAGAGGAGGCTCAGAGGAGACCCCGGGGGCGGGGACGCAAACCCGTTCACGGCTCAGGGTCACCATGAAAGCCACCCCGAGTGAGCCCTGCGGTGTGCCCGGCTGGGCCCCAGGGTAGGGCTGCAACTCACTCGTCTGTCTTTCCTTTCTCTGTTCCCCTCTGCTGTTTCTTCCTTTTCTTCCTTTTGCTCTCTGACATTAAGTGGGACGCAACTGCTGGCTCCTGTGGGCTCTGCTCACGGCTCAGGCCTTCTCATGATTAACAGAGATGTATCCTCAGCGAGCAGCTCAATCCTGCTTCTCTGGATCGGGTGACGTGCTCACAGTCATACTCGGTACTGATGCTGGGTGTCCCTGTTGCAGGAATTTAGTTACGACCTAACCAGCTCCATCAAACCAGGGGGGACTGGGGTGAGGGCGCAAGGGGCCCTGGGCAGGAGCCAGAGGCCCGGTCCTCAGCCCAGACCCGGAGGTTCTGAGTGACACTGGGTCAGTCCCCCGCCCGGGGGCTTGCACAGGGTGGCTCTGGGAGGCTGGGGCCGGGAGAGGTGGGGGCCAGGATGCCCCGAGCTTCAAGGGCTAGGGGGTGCTGTGGGTGAGAGGGTGAGAGCGTGAGCTCTGGAGCCGGAGGCCGGAGTTTGAATCTTAGCTCCACTACTTACCGGCTGTGCCTTAACCTCACCCTCTCTCATTCTCTGCATCTGTGAAATGGGGTGACTGTCAGGCTCCCGCAGGAAACGGACGACCCTCTCACTGGGGCCACTGAAGAGGGTGAAACGAAGTGAACTGTGTGCCTGATGTGAACAGGGTGTCAGGCAAACCAGGGGCAGTGCAGTGCCCCGACTTCCCCGAGAGTGGGCCCTGCGGAGAGGGCCTCTTGACCTTCAGCGGGGGGTGCAGCCTGCCTGGGCACCGGCCCCCGGCCCCGCCCTCCCATGCCGAACTCCTCACAGGCTGCAGTCAGCCAGGAGCAGGAGGGAAGGGAGCCCCTGACACAGCCCCACGAGTGGGTGGGACACACAGACAGTGGACCGAGCTCCTGGCGGGGAGGGGACAGGCGTCGGAGAGCCGAGTCCCAGGCAGCACACCCAGGACTGGCACAGAGCTGCACATGCACAGTGAGTGTGGTCACGGCCAGAGACCACAGGGCAGGACCAGCACAGGTCGTCAGGTTCCGTCGCCACCCGGCTGGGTGGCCTTTCTGAACCTCGGGCCCCTCTCCCTGAAGGAGGGGTTGACAAGATCTTTCCATCTCACGTTGCTCACCTCTCTGGGCACGTGCTGCCAAGAGGCAATGAAAGACCTTCTGCGGGGCTGCCAGGAGTACAGGCAAGGGCCCAGCACACAGTAGGTGCTCAGCAATGTGCTCTCCCCTGCCTTGTTTCACTTTGGCGGTTACGAGGCAGGAAGTCTCCTCGAGGCATTTTCTTTTAACCAGGTGACCTTAGGGTGACACGGTGAGGTGCAGGATGCTGTCTGGGGTGCCTGCGCAGGCCTGGGTGGTGGGCCTGTTCCCGGTGCTGCACAAGGCGGGGAGACAGGTGGCGGGTGCCCTGGAACTGGCCTCCTCTCCCCCCTCCCTCCGGCCACCCGGGGGAGGGTGGGGCTGTGTGTGCAGCCTGGGCCGCCCGCAGGGGCCCTGCCTCTGCCCCTCGCCTTCCCTGCCTGCTTTACCCAAAGCCACGCAGTGCATTTTCCACCCACTGGGAAGTCAGTGCAGACAGCAAAGGTCCGGGCCAGACGGATCTGGGTTCCAATCCCAGTCCCCGCCTTGGCCCTCTGGCCTGACTAGTGGCAGGGCAGGGTGACTCGGGCACCCATCCCCACGGGGCGGGGGGAGAACCCGAGGCCCTAGCTGGCCCCTGCCCGCTACACACCCCTCCTCATCCTCCCGATATTGGCCTCAAGGCTCCACCGATAAAACAGAGCCAGGCCCAAGTCTCATTTCCAGTTTTTAATGCTTTTCTTGTAAAACCCAAAGTATAAAACTGGCAGGGGAATGGAAAACAAATTCTGTACACTTTATATACATGAGGTCTGTGATTTTAAAACCGTGGGGGAGAGAAAAGGAAGACACAGTCAAGGGCGCGTCACAGCTCACGGATCCTGCCAGGCACCTCATCGGGGCTCAGCCGGGCTCCAGCGAGGGCCCCCAGTCAGCTCGGGGCGGGGGCCTCCATCTGGCTGCTCAGGCTGGGCGCACGTAGTGGGGGCACGCGCGGTGGGTGGGCAAGGCAGCATCCGTGGTGGGAGGCGGACAGCCGTGGGCCGGGCCTCCCTTCAGGTGTCCGTGTAGATGGAGGGGATGTGACTCAGGCAGTGGTCGAAGGCCCCGTTGGGGAAGAAGCTGCAGTCCTCGGGGCCGCTGGGCACCACGTCTGCGGAGGGCTGTGGCGGCAGCGCAGGGGGGCACGGGGCCTCAGCCAGAGCCTCGTAGCCTGTGTAGGGCACAGGGTCCGCTGGAGAACTCAGGGGTTGTGGCTTGTCACCTTTTCCCAACTCCCAGACGCCAGCCCCCTGCCTAGTGTCCCCTCGGTGAGTCCTGCCCCGGGCCCTCTGCCCTTCCAGGTAAGGAGGGGAGGGGCTGGGCAGAAGGCGCCCCAGCCTTGCATTCCCAGTGGGCCCAGGGCAGCTGGGGAGGTAGGCACAGGCTGGCTTGGGGAGTCCGTCACCCAGCACTGTGCTGCGGGGCAGATTGTGGGGGCAGGGCGTGTGGGGTGGGTTATCACAGCTCTTGCCTGCAGGGGCTGGTCCCCTCCTGGCAGAAGGACCCCAGTCCACCTACCCTTTCAGGTTCTGCTACCCCACCAGACACCGAAAACCCAAAAGAGGGACCGGTACTCCCTGGGCACTGACCAAGGGCTCGGTGAAGCCACACCTCACTTAAGCCTCACAACGACCTTGGGAGATGGGATTCATGACCCCGTCGTAGGGCTGAAGAGGTGGCTCAGAGAGGGCAATACACTTGCCCAGGTGCAGTGGGAAAGGGGGGCTTTGAACCCAGGTCTGTCTGGCTCCACGGCACCTCCCTTCCATTGGACACCCTGTCTCCAGGGGAGGTTACTACTCAGAGGCTCTCTAGTTGGGTGGGGCCTGGAGCGGTCGCCTTGCCCAGGCCTCTGTGTCTGAACTGTGGTCATGAACTTCTGTAGCCTCGGGCAGTTGAGCCTCGGTCTTCCCATCCATGTAATGGGACCAGGCTGAAGTATTCCCGAGGCCCCTTGGCCCCACCTTGTTCAGTCCGGCGTGCCTGTTCTCAGCTTGGCAGAGGAGATATGGGTAGCAGAGCAGGGCCCTGAATGGGTGCTGGATGCCGGGCTGCCACCAGGTAGCAAGGGTGAAGGAGGCCAGAAGAACCCCTACCTCGGTGTGAGGGCAGGGACCCCTCTTGACCCCTCAGAACCACCTATTCCAGGCCTTGCCGCTAAACCAAGCAATCCCACCTTGGGCTGGCTGGGGACTGGGTGGGGGCCGGCTTGGTGAGAGCTAGCAGTGCTGGGGACAGTGGCCGGTGCCTGATCACACACCAATCCAGGTGCGTGCAAATGTGGAACACGCCCGCCCTGTGACTGGGTACACACCTGCCTGTGGCGCATGTATGTGACGTGACCACAGACATACCCTGTCCTTGAACAGTCTGTGCACACGAATGGGGTTATATGGGGTGAGGAACACATGTATGTGCACACAGATGTCATAGGATGGGGACACGGGTGTGCACACGGGCGGGGCATGAACAGCAGCACAAGCATGACATGAGCACACGTGTGCAGACAAAAGCACGTGCGCCCTGCCAGCTCCTCACACACTCACGGGGCTCATGCTGCCTGGATCGCCCTGCCGGCCTCACGCACGCGCGCATGCACACTGCCATGCTCCTCAGACCAGGAAAAAAGAACATACACAGACACGGGGGCACACGTGTGAACAGGAAGCAGGGACCCACCGTTTTGCGTGTGCTCGTCCGTGGCCTCGGTGCTTGTCCCTATGTCTCTGTGCCTCCGCCCCCAGCTGCGCACACCCAGAACTGCCCGAGGGTCCTCTGGGACGGGGCCTCAGTCTCCCCTCTGTCTGGGGTCCCATCCTGCCCAGGCCTGGTAGCTTCCAGCTGGCCCCAGGCCCTGGGGCTGATCTAGGGTGGGGCTTGGCTTGGAGCACTGAGGGCAGGACCGCCCCACCCCTCCGGGCCCTGCTCTGACCAGCACTGGCCCTGCTTTGAGCCTCAGGTCTGTGCCCGTGCCTGCACATAGTAGGTGTGCAGTGTGCAATCAAAGGGCCCATCACCTAGACTGTGAGCTCCCAGACACCTGCCAGGGTCCAGGACGCACAAGCCGTGTGAGACTGCAGGGACAGGCAGGGCGCATGTCCCCATTCTGCGGCCTCCTGGGGCTGTCCCTTGGCTGCAGGACAATGGGCGTAAAGCACTCAGCACAGGGTTGGGCCTTGGTGTGCGTTCAGGGAAAGGAGTCATGCAGGTGGGGCTTACCTGTGGCAGGTAAAGGTGCACTGAGGCTGTGGTAGCCATTGGGCCGCAGAGGGTTGAAACCGTGGGCCTCCCCAGACAGTCCGTCCCCACCGGCTGCTGGCTCGGCCACCCGGCAGCAGTCGCCGTAGGGGAAGCAATTCTGGATGGAGTGGAAGCTGCCCTGGTACCCTGCGGAGGGAGGCGGCAGGGCCGCGTTCACAAAGGGGAGGTGCCGGGGGCCCCCACTGTCCCATCCAGGCATGGTGGGTGTGACGAAGAGGCCCCAGGGTGCAAAGGTTTGGGGGCCTGCGCCCCTCTCCCACCCCTGCCTTGCACCAGAGGGAGTGGGTGGCATGGCCTCATGTGGCTGCACCTGTCTCGAGTCATTTGTGGCGATGACAGTGCTCTGGGGAAAGGGACAATTGGCCTTTAACCCCCTCCGCCTCTGAGACCCCCGACCACTTTTTCTCCAGGCAGCAGGCTGCTCCCGCCACGGCCGATGCTGCTCCCTCCTGCGAGAGCCTCCAGTGCTTTATGGATGGAACGAACTCTTTTTCCCCCTCAGGAAGAATTTCCTCCATAAAGTGCCCTGACTAGGCGTGCTGGGTTCCCTGACGCCGGCTTCTCCCAGTGGCCCTCCGTGCTGCTGTCACTGCGTTTCCTACTTGCTTCCCCAGGGCACTGTCCCGTGCCCCCTGGGCACCCCAGCAGGCACTGGCGTGTGTACAGGGGAGCCCCCCAGGCAGAGCTTACCTTGCGGGCTGGGCAGAGGTGGGGGTGGAGGACTCTGGAAGGGCGGGTACGGTGGCTTGCTGGGGAGCGTGGGAAAGGACTGGTCCCCTGGAGAATGGTTCTGGGAGGACGGTGGCAACGGTGGTGGCCCAAGGCCCTTCAGTGGGCTGACCATGGGCGAGAGGAGGCCGGGTCCCAACCTGGAGAACAGGGACAGCTGTGAGCAGGATGGGCTCTGGGAGAGGTGAGGGCCAGCGGCATGGCTACAGCTGCTTGCTTCCCTCCAGCAACGAGGGGCTCACTGGCTGGCCTACTCTAACTTGCAACACTGAAGTTGGAAGAGGAAGACTTAACGTCTATGTTTAAACTGGAATTAAATTTTAAAAATGTTGTAAGCATTAGAGCCCTGAAGGAATCAGTGAAGAAAAACTTCTACCCGGTATTTAGGACTGACAGCAAGGAACGCTGGTGATAAGCGCGACCTCCGGGGCTGACGGAACTGCATTTAAAACCCCGTTTGTTCTCACCGGCCACATGCCTTTGGGTAAGATGCTAAATGTCTCTGAGCCTTGGTTTCCCTGCCGTGTTCTCTCCCTGACACACGGCAGCTCTCACTCCCCAGGGCTGACTACCAGCCTCCCCTGCGGGTCAGACACTGACTGGGCTTGCCGCTCTGGCCACCCGGAGGGTGAGCCCGGGGGCAGCTCCTCTGCCGGAGATCAGCGCACGGGCAGCCACCATTCAGGGCGCCTCCGCCTGCGCCTGTGAGAGAGGTTCTTGTGTCCTCACACGTCAGAAAACCAAGTTCAGAGAGGTTGCCTCAGTTAGTCCGGCCACACAGCACTGACACGCAGTTATGGGGAGGGTAAAATAAATGAAGCGCTATAGACTAGGGACTGGAATAAGGTCAGTGGGTTCTTAGCCACTCTGTGAATCATCATCATCAAGATGAAGGGAAGGAAAACTGGCAGGTAGATCTGACGTCCGAGGTGGCCTTCAGTGCCCTGCCCAGCGCACCTTCAGTGGCCTCTGTCTCTGTCCTGACCATCTCTCTTCCACTTGACTCCTCCTGTGATGGGGCCTTCATCGCCTGCCACCGGGTGGGCCACCTACCCGGACTGCATATCCCTGTAGACCAGCCTATTCACAGGGGCCAAAATGAGCCCCTCGGACTTGGGGGCTCTCGGGAGCAGGCCGAGGGCTCCCAGTCTATGCAGCATTTACGTGCATTGCAGGAGAGAGAGAGCAAGAGCTCAGTCTGCATTTTCTTGTTTGCACTTGTGGATTTGTTGGGTCATCAATTAAAGTACACTGCACATTCAACGGCACAGCTCCAGGTGACCTTTGCAGGCAAGGCGTGCTCCCTGGCCCACCCTCCAGACACGAGGTGTCCACGGGGCAGCTCAGCGCCTCTCCGAGGAAGCAGGACTATCTTGAAATGGGGAGTGGGGGTTTGGGGGGAGTTCGGTGGGCTCCACGCCTGTGGCTCTGGCGGGTCCCTCGCTGTTCCCTGCAGCCTAAACACCCTGCCGACTCTGCCCCTCCACTGCGAGGTCACCGTCCACCACTGTCCACTCCTCTGGGACCCCACCGCCGCGTGTGCTCTGAAGGCAGCTGGGGGCACGGCCCGGCTCCCTAGCCCAGCGTCTAACACCCTGTAGGCACACTTCAGCCTCCTGGAGTCAACCAACCGGATCCTCATCAAGGCGCCGTGAATGAATCATTATTACTGACAACCTTAATATTTTTAGGCCCGACTCACGGCCTGCCTGTAGGCACACTTCTGCCTCACTCTGTAAATGGTGGCGGGCTGCGCACAAGCGGTGGCCAGGAGGGTAGACAGATCATCCTTTGGACCTGCTGGGTGGTGCCCACCTGCATTATGACCGTCCCAGCCTGGCACCCACCACACTTCAGCTCTGGCCTGGCCCCCAGCAGACAGCAGATACATATGAACAAACTGGTTTCTGAATTGTTCAGCTACAACACCCAGAGAGTAACAGCACTGCAGAATTAAGGAGAACCCGATCTGAAGGGGAAAAAACATGCATTTCCAAAGTTTGTTTTTCCTTCCTCAAACCTGCCATAAACTCACATTTGCCACCTTCATAGCCAGTGAAATTAAGCAGAACACAGCCCTCTCTCTCCACAGCAGGCATGAAGGCTGGGCTTACGCTGCTCTACCTGAACCCGTCAGAGGGAAGAAAGCTCATCTGGAGCGCCTCTTCTGAGTCATGCAAATGACTCCTAAATCAAATATTTTTGCTCCAATTGGAACCTATAAAAATGAATATAAAACCTCACTGGCCTGGCAGACTTAGGGCTTCATACCTCGCACAAGGCTGGGGTAAAATACCACCCTATGCGGTATCTTCGCTGAGCCAGAATAAATAAATTTGGTCATGAAGTCAGGCCCTCTTAGCATAGTTTTGAGTGAATCAGATAACTCTGTCAAGCTATTTAAACGCCCCAGCAAACCACTGGGGAGCCGCGAGTGGCCTTCCCTGTTGACTTTGGCTGGAAGGGGAGGCTGAGGGCCTTTCCCCCACCTCTTCTCAGGGGCTGAAAAAAGAAATCCATTCAGGCTGGGCCCGGTGTCAGGCGTGAGGGCCCCTCTGTCCCGCAGCTCAGAGGAGCCTGGGCGCCTGGTGGTTGGGATGACTTGAGCCCGGCTCCTGCAGGCACGGGTGGGCAGGCGAGCCGGGGGTCCGTCTCGATCTTGTCATCACTCTGCCTCTCGTTGCAGGAATTCTTGACGGGCACTTACGCAGGCGGCAGACAGGTGATGAATGAGGCAGAGCAGAGTGCACAGGCCCGAGTGGGGCAAGGCTTCGGTGGTTTATTTTTCTTTGGTTGGAGATGTTTGGGGCTGGCTGGTGGGTGAGCAGGTGGCCTGAGCCGGTGGGTGGGGGGCTGGTGTCCATGGAAGCTGTTCCAGGTGACACATGGAGAGCAGAGCATGAGCAGGGTCTCACTGCCTTCCTCCAGGAGGGGACTGTAATGCTCACTTTACGAAGGGGGACCTCAGGCTTGGTTTTCTGGGTTCCCCTTGCACCCCGTCAAGCTGCCTCTTTGTGGCTCTCCACGACCTCCCCACCACAGCCGCCAGGGCTCCCCCCGATGGCCCCTCCCCTCTCCACCAGCCAGAGTTTCCCTGAGTCCTTCTTGTTCCAGGTCACTCGTGCCTTCTGGGGGTTCTTCCTGCCGCCCACCAGCCCTGGCTCAGGCTGGCACCCACCCTCCGTTCAATGCTGCCCCTGGTGATCTCGGCCCTCCCCAAGGCTTCAAATTCACATCCCCAAGCCTGACCACGTGACGGCTCAGAGAGAGTTCTGTCACAGGCCTCCTGGTCTGGCCCCGGTGACCTCTCTCTGGAGCGTGTCACTGCACGTGAAGATTCCAGTTTCCCAGAATACACCAGGCTCTCACCTTGCCCACCTTCACTCTTGTTTCCTCCTTCTGCCCAACCTCTCCACTCAGCCAACTCCTACTTAACCGTGGAAGTCCAGCTTAGCGCCCCCTCCAGGAAGCTTCTCCTGCCGCCCTCCCCCACTGCACCGGGTTCTCCTCTGGGCTCCCACTTTCTTCCGCTTCCTCCCCTCAGGGCACGTGTGTGTCGTCAACCCTGTGGATCTGTCCCTCTCCCCTCCTCACAGGGAGCTTCCCCAGGGCCGGGGCCGTGTGTGGCACAGGCCTGCCCACACCAGGGGCTTAGCTGGACTTTGAATAAAGGAGGAGCAGAATTAGGGGCACTGGGTGACAAGTTTGGTGAGAAAGCCAGGTGGGCCCCAGGCAGAGGCAGGCCAAGGCTTCTCTGGGGAGGACGGCTCTGGAGCTAGGCCTCGGGGGCAAATCTGATCGACTCCTGCTGGTGGTTAAGTGGAGGTGGCAGGGAGGGCAGGAGGCAGGACAAGGAAACCAATTTTGGCAGCATGAGTGGCTGGCAATTAGCACATTCACCATTTCCAGCCAATTAAGTGACCACAATGGGAACCACATTGAATGCAGGAAGAGGCCACCGCTCCCTGCAGGGATCCCGCAGTAAGGGCTCCTGGACAGCCCCGAAGGCCTGGCAATGGGGCACAGCTGCAGTGGCAGAGCAGGGGTGAGGCCCAGGTGGGCATCTCTGGAGTGAGTGGTGGGTAGTCTGCTCACCAAATGCACAGCATGAGCCAAGGAGAAGCCAGAGTGTGGCTCCCGAGGGGGCCTGGGTGTGGTAGCCCGAAATGCAGGGGTTGGGTGAGGACACAGAGTTCCCAGGGCCACCCCCAGGAGAGGAGAGGGTGCTTGAGGTGAGGTGTCAAGAAGCCCAAGGCCCAGGGGCCAATGCCACCTACCAGGTAGCGTTACTGCGAGGCCCCGGTGAAACTGTGCACAGAAAGAATCTGGTACAGACGTGGTACCTGGTTAAGTGCTGCCTAAACGCTGGCTATTTTCATGATCAGTAACAACCATTTAGTGTGAGGGCCGCCCGCCCTCCTCTGCCTCCCATGCAGGTCCCCGCTTAGTGCCCTGCACGAGGGCTGGCTTGCTGTACGTACCCATCCCTGGTGCTCTCAGCCGTGGGCAGAGGGGACAGATGGTGGGGACCTGTGGTGGCATCCAGTGGGTGGTGCCTGGAAGGGACATCGTGCACGGGGGGCAGAATGCCTGATGCCAGCCCATTATGGGGGGTGACGGAGCCAGGATACACACCTGCAGGGAAGCAAACAAATATTGCTGGGCTTCAGCCACTCTCTAGACATGGCTGTGCACGGCCTGGGAGCTATGCGCCTGCCTATGAGAAAGACAAGACAGGGAATCAGCAATGTTGTGTTCATAGAAGGTTAGGGGACCAAACAGGGAGACAATGGCTCTACTCTTTGCCCTGTGCCTTGGCCAAAGGGCCGCGTGCAGAGCTGAAGTCCACCCTGACCGCAGATGCCAGGTGAGGGGCCATCAGAGGCACAGGGCGGTGAAGCCCTGTGGGTGTGTGTCTTGATTGGGATGAGGGGACTATATGGAAAAGGCCGCCTCAGGTCTCTGGGGCTGTTCTGAGAAAGAAGAGGCTGGCTCTGTGTGTCTGCATAGCCCCAGAAGCAGACAGGGATCCCGGACTGGAGAGAAGCAGATGTGGCTCAGGGCTCGACTGTATCCTCTGACAGGCCAAGCTGCCACAGGGCGATGGGCTGCCTTTGGGAAGAATGAATGACCTGTTATCCTGGAGATGGGCGAGCAGAGAGCCTGACCGAGCTCGCTAACGGCAGGCTGGCCTGGGAGACCTCTGAGAAAGGATGTCACAGGGGGCCATACATCGTAGGAGCATCCCAGCTGAGGACAGCGGTCAGCTGTGCTCTCACCTCAGATTCTAGAACCCCCGCAGGCTGATACCACTTCTTCTCACCTTTGACCCCAACAGTCTCACCTTCATGGGGAGAGTAAGTGGGTTAATGAATCAAATGGGCACTGGTCATCAGATGTCGCACCAGCAGCCCAGCTGAGGGTCTGAGTGCAGTTACTGAGGACAGTGACTCACTGGGGGACCCCAACTACAAAGGAGAATGTCCCCCCTGGGTCTGGAGCCTGGGAGGGACAGAGAGATGGCTGCACATTTTTGATGCCCCTATTTTATCTGAAAAAAAAAATGGTGCTAATTGTGCACTCTCTTTTTAACCTGGCCATCTTTATTTGACTTTTAATAGAAATTGGCATCATTTTTGCAGAAATCAGCACATCAGGTCGATGTCCTGGGAGCATTCTCTGGACCCGGGGATCAGGCCCTAGGCTGCACTGATGTGTCCACTCCAACAGGTCAGAGCTCACTCTGGGCCAGCTGTTCCGTGTCCAACATCATTCTGGTCATAATGGAGCCATATGCAAGGCTTGTCATCACCTCCTGAGGACCTCCCAAGAACACGTCACACTCCTTCATGCGTGGGGTAAAGGATGAACTTTTACCCCCTCAGGTGTTCCGGGCTCCGAGGCCCACCCATCCTGTGCCAGACCCGAAAGCCCGGGCCTGCAGTGCAGGGAGCTACTGCAAGGGGCCGAGCAGGGCTGCGGCAGGGGTGGCATGGCAGGGAGCAACAGAAGTGAAACTGTGGAGGTGACAGTAGGGAGCAGTGGGGACAGTGGCCAAGTGGAGACTGTGCCCTTTAAGGCCTTTCCAATGAAACTGTTCAAAAACAAAACAAAAATGAAATACTGTGCCTCTGAGACCAAACAGTGTACAAGCCCAGGCCTGGAGCAGGAGCAGCAGACATCCTAGGGATGGGCTACACTAGCTGGCATTCTACACTCACAGTGGATGTGTGTAATTAGTAACAGTTACTGTCGATTAAGAATATACTATGTGTGAGCTATTTTTTCACACTCTTCCACACTATGTTTAACCATCTCAACAGCTGTCAATAGGGGGAGATAATACGATCCCATTTTAAGATGAAGAAACTAAGTCTTAAGAACTTTAACATTCGTTGAAAGCTACAGAGTGGGCAGCTAATCAGGTCTACCAAGTAATACCAAAAGGAAGTCCATTGAAAGCTGGTCTAGGCAATGGCCTGGGGCTCCAGTCCAGGTTATGGCCTGGATGTCTGGCCAGAGGCCTCTGGTTCAGGCTTCATGTGGGCTGGCTCGGAGACCCCAGGGCTCCGAGTGGGTTCTGGAAGGCCCTCTGCCTCTTGGCCCCAGTCCTCACCCCTGCCTGGCTGAGGGACCTCTGCTCACCTGACAGCGCCACCTGCCCACCCACCCCATCCACTGCTCCCTTGGCCACACGCCCTGCCCCAGCACAGTCAGGAAAACCCTGGAGGGGATTTCAGTGGCCGTAGTTGGCTGGACACTGCTCCCCGCCTGCTCCACTCTCCACCCTCGCTAGCACCACCTCACCTGCCACTTTGAACCAATATGGGGGCCTCAGGAGGCCCAGAGTCCTGATAAATCCTGCCACCCCTCGCTCAGACACGCTGACCACATGCCTCTCACATCCCCACTGCTGTGGGTCGGCTGGAGGGGGCCTGCCAGGGAAGCTGCCGAGTGCAGACAGAAGGTCCTTTCTGATGGGACACAAGCGCACGAGAGCTTCCTAGAGTGGGATGCTGAAAGCTCAATGTCACCCTGCCTCGAGCTCCTGCCTCGCCCCCGCCCCTCTGTTCAGGACTCTTCCACCCGAACACTGCTCGAATCTACCCCTGCTCTCCCCAACCTCTGCTGTGCTGGTCCAGGTCTCCGTCTATCCTGTCCCCTGAGGATGGACACGTGGTGGGCGTCTGAGTGTGTGAACGGGGCTTGTACGTGTAAATGGACAGTGGGTGGAAACAAGGGAATCACTGCATCGGGAGGGGCAGCGAGAGTGGGGACGCCATGGGGCCTGCCAGCCTCTCCCCAAAACATCCCACCTCGGGCTGCAAATCAGCATCATCCATCATCAGCCATGAGCATTTCACCTCTGGCCCTAACACCTGTTCCCAGCTGCGCCTTGGGCGTGCACCTGGTGGTCCGCAGCAGGATCTGGTGGCTGAAGCCTAGGGGACCCAGGACTCCTGGGTTTGCGGGCTGGTCCTTCCCTCCCCGCTGTACGAGAAGCTGCTCGAGGTCAGGGACCAGCACGGGGCCTGGCACACAGTAGGTGCTCAGTTTGGCAAAGCTTTAGCAGCAGGGATCTCATTAAGGGCACAGCAAGCAAGCAGGTGGCCTGGGCCTGATCAGACCTCTGCCATTTTCATGGCTGTGGAACCTCTGCAAAGAGTGGCCTGACCTCTCAGAAACCAAGTGCCCTCGTCCGGGAGGGGAGGGCGTAGCAGCCTGTACTGCTGGAGGGCTGTGTGGGTTGCCACACGCCTGTGCAGCACCTACGGCAGGTCCTGCACACACCCCGTCCGTGTAGGTTGTGGTGTTCCTCTGAGATGGGTAAGGAAACGGTGACTCTTCTCATTCACCATGAGCCACAACTGTAACAACGACGATGACACAGGCATCAGTCACACTGGGTCTGTGTAAGTGATCTCATCCACGATCACATTTGTCATCACAGGAGGTCTGGAGCTCACGGCAGGAAGACACCGCCCACTCTCTGTCCAAGTGGGCCTGGCCCGTGTGCGCAGCCCGTGCTGCCTCATCCGTGGCACTGCCTCAGTGCCTCCGCTTCTCACCTGCAGCCTGGGCTCCCGGGGGACTGACCAAGATGATGTCTACAAAGTGACTGGCCCAACCGAGTGCCCAAGAGGGGGTCATTGCTGGCCCGGCCCCTCTTCCTGAGACAACTCCCTGGGCTGGCAGCTTGGGGAAGAAGCTTCCCACCTGGATCTGCTAAGGACTTTTGATGATCTTGGGTCCGTCTTCCTCCGGCCCAGGCCTGCGGGACCTCTGCTGTAGGGCGGCCACTGCTAACAGCCACAGCCCTCGTTCCTGCCAAGCCTCAGAATCCTGCTCAGCACAGAGTGCCACATAGCAGGCCTTCATCCCGGGGCTGGGCCATCCGTAAGGCACCTTCTTGCCCTCCTATTTCAGCAACTCTGACCCCGTGAGAAGCAGCCGCTGGCTGGAGGGAGAAGGGTGTGGACCCTCCCCCCAGGGGTGCTCACCCTGGTGGGCCTGTCTGTGCTCACACCCAGAGAAAGGGCAAATGCCTCCTCTTCCCAGGGCTGTTTTGGTAAATGCTTTGGCAGTTTTAAATCTGCTGCCACTTCAATGCTGAGAGGAAAGAATAAGAAATTGGAAAATAAAAAATGGTTGGAGTAATTCAAGAAATCCCAGAGGGTGGGAAGAGCTTTCTGCTCCGATACTGCGGTTTCTTTGCGGGGAGGAGGGAGAGAGCGACTTTGTCAGCTGGAGTCCACAGGCCGCGGTGCCCTGATCCAGGCTGGATTCCTAGCCGAGCAGCCAGAAACTGCTGGGCCAGAGACTGGCCCCGTGGCTCGTGGCAGTGGCCAGGATGTACAGGCTGCCTTGGCCGGACCAGAGGCTCAGAGTGTCTGGCTGGATGGGCCTTCAGGGGCTCAGGGGTTTGGGGGGGTGTGCCTCTGGGCCAGAGTTTGGCACATGAACTGAAGGTGGTTATGGCCAAGCTGCTCACCCTCTCAGAGCCTAGGTTTTCTCCTCTGAGGCGAGGAATGATGGTGCAGAGTCCATGGGGCCGAGCTGAGGCCCAGGCCTGACCCCAAGGCAGGCCCTGAAGGAAGTGAAGGAGCTGCCTCGGTGGCGAAGAGAGACAGGGAGGGGGCTGGCGAGGTGTGAACAGAGGCTGGGAGGACAGAGGGGGCACAGGCCATCCAGGGAACTGCACCCAGTGTGCCAACGGGGCGGGCCGGGAGGCCTCCACGACAGCCTAGGCCCTGAGAGGCCCCGGGGGCCAGGCTGAGAGAGGAGCCTGGACTTTAGCCCATGGGCCACGGGGAGCCACAGAAGAGTGTGAAGGAGGCTGACATGAGCCCTGGTGGCCCGAAGAGCATCCCTGTCTTCAGGTGGGGCAGGTGAGGTAAAAGGGACCTCCAGGCCTGCCTACCTGGGAGCAGCTCCTGGCCCAGGGCTCGGCCACCCTTCCCGTCGCCGTCGGTCAGCTGTGTGGACGCCTGGAGCTGCTGCAGGGCCAGACACTCAGTCAGGACGTCGGCCTCGGGATCTGGGCCGGCGTGCAGCTGGGGAGCAAGCACAGGGACAGAGAGGTGTTGTCAGCACGAGGCCACTTGCCCTCCAGCAACTGTGGCTTCAGGGGACAGCGTGGGGCGGGCAGTGGGCCTAGGGCAGGCCCTTCACCTCACGGTGCCTCAGGTCCCTCCTTTGTAAAACAGGCCATCGTGTGCCTTGTGAAGGCGGCCTCAGTTCAGGTGGGAGAAGCAGATGCTAAGATGAGATCGAATGTGCAGGGTCTTGAGGGGAACGCTCATGTTCGAGAGCTGGGCAGGCTGAGAGCCATCAGACCGCGTGGCAGGTCTGAGCCCATGGGAAAGAGGGAGAGAAAGGAGGTTGGCAGGTGGCCAGAGGGTCCTCAGGGAGCCCAGGTCTGCTGGCGGTCGGTGGGGGGAGTCCTACGTCTGTCTCTCGGGAGGGGTCTTGCCAGGCCCTGCCGCACTCAGTCCCCGGCTTGCACGGCCGGCGGGAGGCGTGGCCTCGGCACAGACGTTAGGGTGGGGGTCACAGGGCAGCCGGGGCCTCCCACAGGCAGCAGGAGGTCTGTGAGGTCTGCTCTCGTGACTGCCGCAGAGGTGGGTGGATGCGGTGGGAGGAAAACACAGTAACTACGCAGAGTCTTTCCCGCCTTCTTCCACTAGCCCCTACATTCTTTCTTCCTGGCACAGGTACAGCAGACATAGGTGCAGGGCTAGGGACAGAAGACCTGGGTTCAAATCCCACTCCATCTCCTCTTGCTCCCTGTGTGACACTGGACAAATAACCTCTCTGGCTCTCCTCCCCGCTGCCTGTGATAACAAAAAGCCCTCACCCATGAGAAGTGCAAACGAGCTTATTGAATGTGCCGCGGGAGGGCCGGCCGCTGCCCACTGGCCAAGTCTCACACGGTCCCAGGACAGCGGGCTCGGTCAGCACAAGGCCAGGCTGGCAAATCTCCGGCCAGGAGACCTCAGCTGTCCCCTAAAGACAGATTAAGCCTGGCACCTCGGAAAGTCTTCGCCGCTACAAATGGGGCTAGATGGGGCCAGGGAGGGGCTGGCTGGGGCCCTAGGGACAGCGGGTGATGAGGGAGGGGCATGCACCTAGATGTGAAGGGCCCCTTCTCCCAGGGGAATCCTGCAGCCCGGCTCCTGGAGCCCTGAAGCGGGCTCGTCAAAATCCTCGTTTTACACGGGACAGCACCAACCCATAGAAGGCCAGAGCCTTGTCTCATGTCACACAGCAGCTGAGGGTCGGCCCCAAGGGTTTTTCCACCCTCTCAGGCCAGGAGGGCAGCACCCAGGCTCGGGGCAGGCATGCCCATCCTCCCAATGGGCTTGCGGCTCCCTGACCCAGCAGCTGTTTTCCATGTAAATTAAGTTTCTGGCAAAAGAGGGCCAAGGCATGCCTTGCAGACCGCAATGTCGATCGGATTAGGAGCAGCAGGAGAGGAGAATTAAGGAAGAAAAGCATTTCTAATTCTCTCTGAAACGCAGCAGGGCTGCCAAGGAGCTGTCATAATACAAGGGTCGCTTTACCCAGAAAGATACATCATCCCCGATGGCTCTTAATGGATGCTTATTGTTGGGAAGTTTGCAGATCTGCGGCTCCAGGTCCCTGGGGCTCAGTGTGAGCCAAGCATGGGGCCTGGGAAAACCAGGGCAGGATTCTGGTCCTCGGGCACCGGTCCGCTGGGGACAGAAGCATCCCTGGCATGGAGCCTGGGCTATTCCTTCCCTGTCCCCACTCAGGCCCCTCAACCTGAGGGCAGTGGAGAGAGCTTGGGCCCTAAAGACAGCTGGGTCTGGGATGGGGCCCGGCTCTGTCACTTCAGTGCTGCACCCCTCTGGGCAGACTGGCGAGCTCTCTGAGCCTCAGTTATTCTACCGCTACAATGGGAAAAATAGTGCTACTTCCAGGGCTATAGAGAGGACAAGTAAGGTACAGTCAGTGAATCAGCACACACAGGGCAGAGGTTAAGGCTCGGCCCTCCGTTCTCAGGGATGTGGTGTTTTTTACCGGCGAGCTCATGGTATCTGCTTTGACCATGTCCCTCTGCTCTGCTGCTTCCTGTGTCCCCCGCTGCATGCAGGATGAAGACCACGATCTCAAACCTGGCTGTCTCCCCACCACTGTCTTTCCCCAGAAGCCTGCTTGCTCTGGCACCTGGTCTTTGCATCCCCCGAGGCTAAGTGGTCTGCTTTCCCCAGCCCCTAGGCTTTCTCTGCTTTATTCACAGATGTATCCACCCTTGTTTAAACAGTGCTTGGAAGACAGGAGGTATTCCATAAATCTTGCTGGCCCAATCAATGGACTCTTCCCCCTCTGTCCTCTTCTGTCATGCCAGCACCCCCGGGACTGCGGCCTGATGTTTCTCTTCACCCCCATGCCCTCCCTGGCACTGAAGCACGCCCAGTCCCATGGTCCCAGTGGCCCTCCGGGGATGCGGGTCAAACCCAGCCAGGTCACCTCTCCCATTGCACTGGGTCCCTTAGCAGCTCACATATTCTGTGTCCCAAACAGAACCAGCTTTCTCCTGCAAATCTGCTTCTTTCTTAAATTCTCTGTCCTGGTGAGGGGGGCCACCATCCGTCCTGCCCCCCTGCCACTCCCGAACCCCGCTGGGTCGCTAGGCCTAATCGCTCCCTCCCCGCCCCCACTCTGCTCCAGGGCGGGAGGGGTCCCCACCACCTCTCCCGCTGCCCAGCAGTGGCTTCCCTGCCTCGAATTCCCCTCCAACCACCCAGACCGTTCTCCAAGTGGCCCCCAGAGCCTTCCTTCAAGGTGATGTCCCTTCTCTGCTTAAGACCCCTCGCTGGCACCCACTATCCTCAGGACAGCCCAAACTCCTCGGCAGGGCGTCAGGCCTCTGGCGTCCACCTCGTCCACCCGCCCCTCCTCCTTGCCCCCTGGTCCTCACACACGGCGTTTCAAGCTTCAGTCACTCTCTGGGACACACACTCGGTCTTCACCTGCCCCACACTTTCTCCTTCTTTGAGACTTAAGGACAAACACACCACCTTCTGCTCTGACTTTTTCCTTTGGGCCAAGTGTTGTTCTATACCCTTAACACGGATTTACTCATTGAATCTTCGAGACATCCCTTTAAAGCAAGTATTTGATTGTCCCCCCACCCTGCCCCGGACAGCTGAGGGACGGGAAGAACAAAGGTGTCGAGAAACGTGCCCACGGCCGCAGGGCAGGGGGCGAGCCGGGCAGACCCGGCCGAGCACACACCGCTGTGCTCTCCTGCTCCTGTGTCCCTCCTGAACAGCCCTGCTGTTCCCACCCGACGGGCCAAGGCCCGTCTCTGCATCACACCGAGTGAGCGCTTCGTGCCCGTCTCAGCAGCCAGGTCCCCGTGGAAGGTTTCCCATTTCTGCTTCTTCGAGGCCGACACAGTGCCCGGCATCAAACATTCAGTCAGTGAGCACAGCAAGCGGGCACATGGACGAGAGAGGAGTGGGGGGCCTGCCTGGCAGGCTGCGGGTGAGGAAGTGCACTAGGGGACAGGTGGGGGGTCAGACGATGGACAGCAGCTTCCTCGGGGTGCAGAAGGGAGAATGCATGCAAAGAGTGCAGGTGTCTGGCTTGATGTTGGATGTGGGGCTGGGAGGCCGGGGCAGGGGGTGTCTAAGAGGTGACCCTGGGACACAGGCCATCTTACCTTCTTACGCACCTGCTGCTCTTTGGCCGAATGGGCCTTCACGTGCTTGCGGAGGGAGCTGGGGTCGGTGTAGCGCTTGGAGCAGCCGGGGATCTGACAGGCGTACGGCTTCTGCAATACCAGAGGGGCAGGGGGGAGGTGAGTGGGAGGGCAGCTGCCAGGCCCAGGGTCCAGCTGTGTGGCCTGTGGTGGGGAGGACGGCTGGGCGAGGGGCTGGCTGCAGGCTCACGCCCTGTCCCTCCCTCCATGTCCCTGTCAGGAGGGGTCCTGGCTCAGCCAGCCCTGCCCACGGGTGTGGGAAGGTGTTTGGCCTAGTAACAAAGGAGGCGGTCTGTCTCTAGTCCACCCTCAGGCTGGGACCCCAGGGAAGCTGCTTCTCCTTTCTGAGTCTCCCTTTTCTCCTCTGCGAAATGGGGCCCACTGGAGATTCTTCCAGCTCAACATTGGCTCTGAGGAAGCTCACCCTTGGTAGCTCAGAGCAGCAGCGGAGCAGCAAGGGGGCGAGGAGTGAAGCCTTGGAGAGGAGGAAAAGAGGGGAACGGAGCAGGAGAGCACGGGGCATGAACACGGGGTCAGGCTGGAGTATGGCAGGCCCCCTCCCCTGGCTGGGAGCAGCCGAGCAGCCCCGGCAGCAGTGAGTGCACCCCAGATGGCGCTCCAGCCCTCGCCCCAACAACCATGGGATGCCAGATGGGAACTGCGTCTCAGGCGCAGACCCGGGCGACTGGGCATCCTCACAGTTTGTGTCCCTGACCCTCAGGGCCCCCACTGCTCTTCTAGAATGAATCCATGCCCGCTGCCTCCCCTGGTTCCTGCCTGGGCCCCGCCCTGCTCCCCGTGCCTGCCATCTCCCCCGGCACTCACAGAGCTGGCCACCCTCTCCCAAACCTTCCGTGACTCCCTGGCGCCCTTGGATACAGCCCATCTCTGGCTAACAAAGGCCCTTTTGTGACTTGGGCCCTGCCTAAATCTTCGCCCCTCCTCCTGCCCCTGCCTTGAGCCCTCACCATCTCCTCTCCAAGCCCTCCTTGAACCTTCTTCCCACCTCTCCCTGCTGGGCTTCCCATCGCAGCGCTGTCCACCCCGCACTGCTGGGTCTGTCCAGGGTCCTGCTGCACCGGGTGGTGAGTCTTCTTTGGGGGAGGGTCCCTGGTCCCTTCCAGGGGGGTCCCAGGTCCCAGGCCCCAGGGACAGAGCCAGGGCAGGGGCTCCGTGGGTGTGACAGGACTCTGAGCTCTCCCACGCGGGCTTCCACAACACGCTGCCTGGGGACTGCAGGTGGGACTGGGCCTCGCAACCCTCCCCATTTCCCCTTTTTGAACACGTCCATTGGTTTCGGTTCCTCGGGGCCCTGGACCTCCAGTCACTGTAGGGTCAGGAGCATGTTTGCAGGGGGTGGCACCTCTGGGATTACTGGGGATGGCTGTGTCCCCATCAGCCGCGCCCATGTGGAACTGCCCCCTAACCACAAGGTCACTCTGCCCTGCGGACTGAGGCGAGGTTGGTCGACCCGACTCCGGGACCTCGTGGGGAGCATGGGGGATGCGGAAAGAGACGACCATACCTTGGTGCTGCCACGGAGAGGTGTCAGGATAGAGAAATGGAGCAAAAAGAGAGAGAGACAGAGCAGTGAGAGGCTTGTCTCGCCAAAAGGAAGGAGTGGGGTGGGAGGGCACACACTGCTCCTCACACCTGCCCCCCAACCACAGAGATGCAGACAGATGTGCCCGCAGACAGACAGACACACAGGACCCCTCTCCCACAGGCTCGACCCCCACCCAACATGCGCAGATGCGCACACACAGCTCCTCTCACCCCATCCCAGCTCTCTCTCCTCTCTCTCTAGCTCTGCCCTGCCCTGGCCCCCGGCCCTTGGGGACGCTGAGAGAAATCCACACGGTTCTGTCAGAAAGCAAACAAACAGAGCTCTGAGTGTTCAGGCACACTTGCCGGAAAGAGGGCACGAGGCCCATCTCCGTGTTTGTTTTTCCACGGCCTGACGTGCAGAGAGCATTCCTCTGGCCCGGCTCCCCCACCAGCCCTCAGCAAACCCTGGGGGTGTCCCAGCAGCGGCCAAGTCCCAGGCCTGGAGTCACAGCGCTGGCTCCAAAGCCTTCTCGCTGACGAGGGCCCTCCTGGTCCTGAGCAAGGACGAGCCCGCACAGCCCCCCACTCTGAGCTCCAGAACCGCACTCACGCACTGAGCACCCCACACGCAGGCCCGGCGCGGGTGCCTGCTGGGCCGTCTTTCCATCTCTCACCCACCCCGGGGGAAGCATTTCCACTTCACAGATGAGGAAATCAAGGTGGACGCTTTGCCCGAGATTTTGAAGGAAGAATGCCCACGGCATCCTGCTAAGGTGCCTCCTCCTGGGCTGCTGTCCTGAACGGTCCAGTGGAGTGGGCAAAGGGCAGGTCATCAGCCCCATCTTGCCGGTGGGGAAACTGAGGCCAGAGCAGGGCAGTGGTCTATTTAGGGAGTCGGTGCAGTCAAGACTTGAACCCTGCACTGAGCACTGGAGACATGGCCGGGTTTGGTCAGCGTTCTGCCCGAGGGTCAGAGGGCGGAAAGGGAGGGCTCACGTGTGCTGTGCGAGCCGTGCGTCAGGCTTCTATGTCAGCCATCAGAGCCTGTTCCCATCGCTCTCTCGTAAGGTAAGTGTTTGAGGAGACCGAGGCCCAGGAGGGCGTGGGGCATTCCTAAACACCTTCGACCAAGTGCAGGGCCAGGGTTAGGGCCCAGGCTGGTCCCCTCCAGTCTGTCCCACCACATTCCTGCCCGTGGAGAGAATCCCATGTTCTCTGGTGCCAGAAGGGAGCTGGGGACATGACCGGGCTCCCTGTGGAAAACAAGGCCCAGAGTACATGGGGCTATAACCCTCTGGGTCTCTGAACCTGGGGTGCTGGGAAAGCAACCTAGCCACTCAGAGCTGCCTGTGTGTGACATCTGTGTGCAGCTGGGTGCAGCAGGGCTGGGCTTGGCTGCTGTTCCTCCTGGGCTACACCAGGACCTTCTGGGGCAACGAAGGCCTGAGATAACCCTGCAGGCTCATTCTGGGCCCGACCTGACCTAACCCTGTAGCTCTGTTCACACACCAAGTGGGGGCCAGAGGCCTGTTGCTTTGGGGCGGGGGCCAGGAAATGCAGAATGGAGGGGGAAAGGGAGTAAGTCAGGGTGGGTGGCCCTGAGAGGCCTGGTGCTGCCGGTGCTGCCTGTGGCCTCTGGGAGATGTGACCAGGGGGCCAGGGCACGAACTGCCTCTCAGGGCCTGCGCTGGGCCCCAAGGGCTGGGCACATGGTAAGATAATGCAAGCAGGGATTTGTTAGCACACGGCCTCACTGTGTGTCCCCAACACAGCCTGAGAATGGGGAGGTGGTGGCAGGGGTCGGGTTCAGGTGGGGACAGGGCTCTTTCTTTTTACCCTCGCCCGCCCGCTCTGCTCAGCTCCACCTCTCCAGCGTGGCTGACACACCTACTCTCCTAACAAAGGCACCGGACTTGGAGTCAGACAAGCCCAGGTTTGCATCCCAGCTCTGCCACTGATCAGCTGCGAGACAGTCACTGACTTCATCTGAGTCTCAGGTTCCTTGTTTGCAAAGTGGGGATAATGGTTCCTACCTTGTGGGCTGTCACCAGGACTGAACTGGAGGAGGGTTTGTGTGATGGGGGTCGGGGTGTCGGAGATATGTAGGACGTTCTACCCAGGGCCTCATCTGGACCCGAACATGACCCCTCTGCTCTTTTCTGCCATCACCCCAGGCCCCCAGCCCCCGTCTGTGGAGTTCCCCAAACATCTGCATGAAGAACAGAGACTGCGAGTCTAGGCGTGGACTCTGGTTGCAGACCCATCTTCTGAGGCTGCAGGGGCTGGGGTCTTCCAGGCCAAGTGCGCCCCTCACACAGGCCCTTGAGACTGGTGTGAGGCCCACCTCTGAGGCAGCTCTGCCACTTTCCAGCTGAGCAGGCTCTGAAACTTCCAGAGCCCTGCTCTCCTCATCTGTCAAATGGGTCAGTGGCCTCTGACCGGCAGGGTTACAGTGAGATCGTGGGAAAGCACAGGAAGTGCTCTGTGAACCTCGAGGTCTGTACGCACAGAGACGCTCGGTGGCCTGTGGAAAGGTTCAGGTCATCTCACTGTCGGGCACAAACAAGAGGAAGGAGGTGACGTACAAGCACCTGGGGCCGGGTCCCTATTCCAGGGGCCTTGGGAGTCTCTGGCCTGTCTCCGTGCAGGGGGTGGGGTGGGGTGGGGAGAGCAGGGAGGGCCTGTTCTGGGACTGGCTGACCTCTTGGGCCTGGGGAGAGGACTCAGGATGGCGAGCCCACCCCCCGTGGGGAGATGCAGGGATGCCACTGCCCTGGCAGTACCCACGGGCTAAAGCAGTGGTTCCCAACTGAGGGAGACTTTTCTGTCTCCTCCCCAGGACTTTGGCAACGTGCGGAGAAATTCTGGGCTATCACAGTGGGAGTGTGAAATCACCACCCAAGGGACCGAGGCCAGGGATGCGCTAAACATCCTCTGATGGCAGGACTTCCCTCTCTCTCCACACGGTCACTCTGCAGGGAATGCCCACAGGCTCCAGGACGAAGGCAGGGTTTCTGCGCGGGCCCTGGCTCCCGCCCTGCATCAGACAAGGGAGAGTGTGCACGTCCTCCACCCACCTCCCCTCAGCCTCCACCCTGGGGCCTACCGTGTCCAGGTGTGTGCGCTGGTGCTTGGCGCGGTCGCTGGAGTTGCTGAAGGCCTTCTGACAGCCTGGGTGCTGGCACAGGTATGGCTTCTCACCCGTGTGGCTCCGCAGGTGGATCTTGAGGTTCTCCAGCCGCGAGAATGCCTTGCTGCAGCCTTCGAACTGCGGGAGAGGCTGGTGAGGGACCCCGCACCCAGCCTGGACATGGCCTCCAATATCCCCTGCCCTCCCCACCCTCACACCCCATCCAGCCCGCAGTCTCCGGGCAGCATGGTTAGCTCTCCATGAAGTACTTGGCGCACAGACTCTATCTGGGAAGCCCTGGTAGGTCCAGAAAAAATGCGCCCATGGCCTGGAAGCTGTTACTAGGGCTGGAGAAGACAGTGGTCTTTCCACCTGTGGATCTGGGAGGATCACCTCTCCAATGACATCTGGACCCAGCGGCTGGCCTGACCGCAGCCCCGCCCAGGACGGATGGATGGCAGGTGCACCTCGTAGCGCAGAAGGCCCTGGACTGGACAGTCTTTGAGCTGCCTGTGCCTCGTTTCCTTGCCTATAAATGTGGGACTGTGTGGCCATCACTCCTGGCTGACAGGAGGGCCCTGGGGTGTAGGACACTGACACCCCGAGGTGTCACTCCAGTGCAGCATCAGTGCTGACTGCTGTCTGAACAACAACCACATCGGTAAACTCAGCGTCTTTGACTGTTAGGCCATTTAGCTGTCCAGTGCCCACCACGTACCAGGCCCCATGGACAAAGCACAGACACAAGATGCCTTTGGTCAGAGGTGGGGGTGGACAGAGAGCAACAAACACAGCGCCCTCCTGCGGCCCCAGGCTGCCCAGCTCCAGCCTCTCTCCCTGGGACCCTCTAACTTCTAGCCCTTCCCCACCCCTATTCTCCACACTGCTGCCCAGAGGAAGTCTCTGATGTAGAGATGCACCAAGCTGCTCTCTGCTGAAAGCCTGCTGGGCCTGGCATTCGGACCCCCTCCCAACCCATTCCCGCACACACCTGCCTGCCCCTCCTGACTTCCACCTCATACTCTGGAAACAACAGGGGTCCACCAGGCAATTTCAAGCCTTTGTTCATGCAAGTTGCTCAGCAAGGAATGTCTTCTCTCTCTTGTAATAACCCATCCAATCCCCCTCAGCCTTCAAAGTTCAGCTTGAATGCTGCCTGGAGGAGGCGGCCATGCCTGGTTCCCTCGTGGGGCTGGCTGCTCCTTCCTGCCTCTCCCACTGTCTGGCCGTGCTCCCCACGGCGTGTGCCATCGGTAAAGAAGGCCTTAACAATGACCAGCAACTGCTCCCTCTGTCCAGGCCTGGGGCTGGTGTTTAGCCACAGAGCAACCTAGGAAGTGTGTAGCCTCAGTGTCCCCACCTCAGAGACGAAGGCTTCCTGTGTGATCACAGGACAGTGAAAAGGCAGACAGGACACAGGCCACACTTGACGCCAAAGCCCCGGTGGCTTTCCCTGCTAGCGGCTGCCTTCCTGGGCAGGTGGGCAGGGGAGGAGACCCTTGAGAAAGAGGCCAGAGGAGGCCAGGGTGGAAGTGCCCACCAGATCAGGACCACGTGTCCCTCGCCTCTGAGCCAGTTCAGCAGTGTCCCTGCAGACTAGCACTCCCACGGGCTCATCCTACCCGCTCTGGGCTGACCTGCAGGGGGAGGCAGGAGCTAACAGCCCCTGTCTGTGTCGACACTGGGAGGATGTGACTTTTCTCTTTCCTGACCTGAGCACTGGGTTCCTTTCTGCCCCCACCTCCCAACTTTAAAGATACCTTATCTGTGAGCACGTCCGTGGGTGGAGGCCGGAGGGGACTGTGGGCAGATACAGACACAGTGGTCCACCTAGCTTGCTTTCTCAGCCCTGAGAGGTCAGCGTCCCCACCCAGGGCAGTTCAGCACACATGGTCATTTTAGTGGGGGCTGTTCAGCTGGACACACTGGCTGCAGCCCTGTACTGGGTGAGGCGGAGACGGAGCAAGAACCCAGGCTCTCTAGGAGTGCAGAGCCCACAGGGAGGCACATATACTGCAGGACAAAACGCCGCGGCCAGAGCAGGGCCGGAGGGAGACAGGCGGGCTGTGGCGGCACAGCGGCAGCACCTCATGCAGCCTGGGGACGGTGAGGCATCACAGAGTGGGCGCCGGACCGGCCTGGAGAGACACGCAGCCACTCGTGCCATGCGCTTCCTTCGGTCCCAGGCCCAGCTGAGCCCTGAGCAATGACCAGACACGGAAGAATGGAGCAACCAACACCGAAAGCCGAGGGGAGACAGGCCTCTGGGAGACAGGCCTACGGGCACCGCAGCGCAGGTGGGGCAGGGGCCTGCAGAGGCCGCTCTGTGGCTGCGTGTGGGCCGTGCAATGGGCCCCGGTGGGTGAAGGGCCCCCAGGGAGATCAGAGGCCAGAGAGTGGGGGCTCATATGGCAGGCTGAAGAGTCTGGACGCCACCCTGAGGGCAGGAAGACCATAAAAGGACCTTGAAAGGGGAGGGCATAGGGTCAGATACATACTCGAGGAAGACACCCCTCCCGGCCACACTCTGGCTGCTGGTGACAGCTAGGGCTGGGAGAGAACAACGGGGACTGGTGAGCCGAAGGCAGGTGCGGTGTCACAGATGAGGGTCGCTGAGCCTGCACCCAAGGCAGGGGTGGCGAATGGGGTGGAAGCCAGGCCAGAATTCCCCGGCCAGGTGCGAGGACAGGACCCAGAGACAACACCCAGTCTGGGGCGGGCTCCCTCCGCACCTCGCCCTCGCGGGCCCGGCCGCAACTGCAGGCTGGGCTCTGCTGCAACTGCAGGCTGGGCTCTGCTGGGGCAGGTCCAAGGCAAGCAGCCCACAGCTGGATTTTAGAGGCTGTTCTCTTTCCTGCTTCCAGATGCTGTGCCTTTTCCATGCATCAAAACCAGAAGGAGATCCTTTCAGGGAAGTGTACAGGCTACAAGGGGTTCCCCTTGCTCTCCTGCAGTGGCCTGGCACCAAGTTCACCCCAAAATGAGGTGGAGGAGCCTCAGCTGCAGGGTGGGCTGCCTCTCGGCACCTGTCTGGTCCCTTTGTTCCTCTCTGGCCTGAGGCAGGAGGGTAACCTCTGAAGCCAAAGGGCAATAGCTCCTCACATGCTGCATGACTTTCCTGAGTCTGGCAGGGCCCACTGGACTCTAAAGGCTGGCATACCATCTCCTCCCCACAAGGGTCTGTAAGTCTGTCTGGCCCACCCTGTCTCAGCACCATAGCTCCCAGACCCCTCGGCTATACCCCTTCTTCCCTTCCAACTCATTGACTATTTAATTGGTACATTTTTCAAAAGTCCTGGGTCTGTAGCTCGGTGTTCACAGTCTTCCAACATGGCCCCAAAGCCTCTCTCATCTGCACACACCCATGTGTCACACTGTGGCCACAGGGAGTGATGGGCTGAGCCTGTCCTAACTTCCATGCCCCCAGGCCTTTGCTGGAGCTGTGCCCTCAGCCTGGACAGCCTGCCCTTCCGTCATTCAGCAGACATCTACCAGCTGTGCCCAAGCCCGCCCAACCTCCTTGGCCCCTCCTTGGCCACACCCTGAGCTTGTGCGTTAGGTTTTCACCGCACACCCACTGCGGTCTCTCTCCATGCCTGTGGGCTCAGTGTTCCTTGAAGGCAGGGCTGGCATCTTTATTCCAGGGGCAAAGGGTGGGTCAGAAACGTGTCTGAATGCAGGTAAGAAGAGGGGTCCTAGGGCCCGGTGGTGCGCATGCCCCAGTGAGCTCACTTCCTCCCTGAGACGTTCATCGAGTCACTGCACACCTGCGCATGTGCCCTGTGCCCATGCCATGCCCAGCCTGGTCCCACCCCCCAAAACTTTCCAGAGCTGTGGTGCAGTCTGGGGTTCAACAAGCAGGTTGTCCTGACTTGGGGGGCTACTCTGTGGGTGCAACCAAAGGTAGCAGCAGGTAGGGGAGGGGCGCCGCCCATCAGGACTGCTCTGGGGTGAGGATGCCGCAGGGGCCCCTGCAGCACCCTCACCCCAGAGGGTGAGCAGCTGCCTGCCAGGGGCCCGCAGTCGTCCCGCCCGACCACTGCACAGATGGGCTGACAGAGGCGGAGAGACGAGGGCAGCACCTGTGTGTGCGCATTCTGCTGGGCCGGATGCTGTCACTAACATGATCTCCGTCCTCTCCTATGTGACCAATACTCCTCCTGCCTGCCAGGAGCTGAGGCCGGGGGGACGCACAGTGACCTGCACAGCGGTTACAGACATAGACTCTGGTGTGGGACGACCTGGACCTGGGTCTTGGCTGCTCCACTGAGGAACGATTGAAAGTGAGTCCCCCCCACTCTCGGTTTCCTCATGTGTCACCCTGGGTGAGTTCCACCAAACCCAGACAGTGGCTGTGAGGACTGAGTGAACTAATGCACATTAAGTGCTTATCTCGACACCAGGTTCCTGCCCCTATCGTCACTAACTATCATTTAAGGGCGCAGAGCAACTAAGTAGTGGGGTGGCATCCTGCCTGGGCTGGCACCTCCCAGGCCCGCTGCCCCCGTGCAGAGTTGGAGGGGGCGTGTGTGTGCGATGTCCCACGGAGCACGACGGCTCCCTGCCCTCCAAGTCCTGTTTCCACCTCTTACTCCTTACGCCCTCCCTCTGTCCCCAGGTAGCCCTGGGCTGTCCCAGCTCCACCTGCGATGAGCAGCAGGCTTTTGGAGTCTATTTCTAAGCTATCAGTCTAACCAGGTCAGCCCCACCGAGGACCATCCCGGGCTCACTGTCCCCCCTGACAATGACTCAGCCCCCCAGCCTGGCATTCGGGGCCCTCCGTGGTGTGGGTGTGTCCCAGCCCAGGGGAAGGGTCCAAACTTGGAAGGCAGACAGCCCCGTGATCTGGAGGAGTCGGTGCCACTCCCTGCGCCTCAGTTTCTTTCTCTGTAAAGTGCAGACGATGGTGACCACTCACAGAGTGTTGTGAGGGGCAGTGTACATGCGGCGCAGCACATGATGCATCCTCAGTGTCACCGCTATGACGGTGGTGGTGGCTGCTCCTGTCTTGCCCTCACGGAGGACGCCATTGTGGGTCAGGCTTCACTGACCCCAGAATTGAAGAATGGGGGTCCTGGCTGGCATGTTTGCCATCGACTGGTCTGGCCCTAACACCCTTGCCATGCCAAGCCCATGGG